AAGGATTTGAGTGGGAGGAAAGACGGTTGTGGAATCTTTTGTAAGAGTGTTTGTCTTCCTCGTAGATAGTTTTTAATTTTGGGTCTGTATGGAGAGTATGGTTAGATATGTATGGAGGAGCATTTATTAATTTTCTAAKCGCAATGTTTTGAAAACATTGAATTTTATTTAAATTTGTCTTTTTTGCACTTYCCCATASCTGTATCCCGTACGTCCAGATTGGTTTCAGTAGTGTTTTGTAGATGAGGAGTTTGACATGAAGGGAGGTGTGTTTATTAGACATTAGAGACTAGAGGTTTGAGGATACGAAAGCGATTKTTCAGTGAAAGTCTTTTTTCTCTAATATGATGTGCCCAAGTTAGTCTTTTATATAATGTAAGACCAAGGTATTTAACTGAAAGAAAGGGTGGGATTGGACTACCGTAAAGAGTTACCTCAGGGCTAAGAGCTGGTCTAAGTGTAAAGGTGGTGTGTAWAGACTTGCTATGGTTTAATTTAAATCTCCATTTGGTATACCAATTCTCCATAAGGTCTAGGTGAGTTTGAAGGTTTGCGGAGGCTATGAATGGATTGTCATTACCTAACCTAACCTATGAATTCCAATAATAATCAAAATAACAGAAACAACAATTACAACACAGTCTCTCCGATTACAATTGCGAGAAATAGAGAAAAGATCATTTCTCGTTCGTGTTCTACAGAAGACTGTCCAAAACAGTTAAGTGCTAAATACGTTTTTATAATATCGATGTTCATAAAACGAATATAATCGTGAATTTGTTATGTTTTATAAACACCACGGAGAGAATTCGATATTGAGTCATTCGCATATTGCATAGAAAATTATTATTTTAAAATGAAATAATTATTGTTAATTAAATTATTATTATTATAATGAAGCAATAAAGATGCAGAGGTTGGTAAAAAAAAAAAAAATGTGAGTCCGTTATTATGGCCTGTGGAAATCATAGATGTTTTCTTTAATGCTCTAATTGAATAACTTTTATATTATATTCTAAGTTTTAGGCGGCAAAAATTTGATGACGTGGGAACTATTTCCAATGTAGAAGAAGAATTAATGTGTTTAACTCATTAAAACAGTGAAGCTTCACGGAGAAGTGGCGATAATGGCACCTCTGACATACCTTTCAGAGGATATGAGTTGAGTGAGTTATTTTATTTTATATTGTTAACTTCTCCCGGGGAAATGACGTCAAAAATCTARCCGCCGGACAGAGATTCGAACCAGGATCTCTCGCTTGCCTGACGATTGCTCTACCAGTCTACCACTAGGCTACCCAATCGCACAGCTTCAAGACGCTACATTCCCAAGTTAACGGATGTTTACAATATGTACATTATCAAAGTTGGACATTGTAAGTACTGTTTATATTCGTTTTATGGTACTACATCACATATAATATGCACWTTACACAGCCTCCCACAATTTTCAATTTATTTCAATTTGTTTTTGAACTGACAGAGCTGAGCATGATCTGCTGAGTGTAATATTTAAGTTGATAGTTTGATACGCACTTGTAAAACAKACAATACACGCCGCCATGCCGGTGCTATGTAACGTAAKAGTTTTTTATTTCCATATCGTCTTATAGTAAATTTTTCTGGCTTTTCGAAAATCTATGTTGTCCTTCTACTCCCTCGGGAACATAGCCAAAAAAAATAAAAACCACGCGCCGGTACTCATTAGGCGATCGTACGGAAAACAGTCATAATATAACTCATATACAATCAACTATATGAACGGTAGACGCCTACTAAATAGATTAACGCAATCCAATGTACAAGTTTTCTTATCACTAGTAACCTGAAAATAAGTCACCTACATTTTTATAATTCTGTTTTCTGTGGTAATATTATTTTTTTATCATAATATGATAAGAAAAATATTGCAAATTTCAATTTTATTTTATTAATCTCAAAGTAGTCAAAGTTGAAAGTAGTGGATTAGTCAGAGGCTAGAGCTCAGACATAGTTCAGTGTTTGTATTTATCTTATAACTTTTACAATTAATTTTAAACTGAATTTCGTTGCATAATCGTTATTACTTTTTAATATCCTTTATTTGAGTGGAAGAAATGAATAGTTCCTGCTTAGCAAAAACTGAAACCAAGTCACCGTTTTTAATTGGCGTGGCTGGTGGAACTGCGTGTGGAAAAGTAAATATCTAATACATTTTGTATTGCAAGGTTTTATAAATTAATTATCCTTGTGTAATGTTATTTGACAGTCCACTGTTTGCAAGAATATTATAGAAAAATTGGGGCAAACTAATTTGGATGAAACAAGAAGACAAGTAGTGTCAATCAGTCAAGACAGCTTTTATAGAGAATTAAATGCTGCGGAAAAAATCAAAGCTTCAAAAGGACAATTCAATTTTGACCACCCTGGTATTGCTGAGATTAGTTATTATTATTGTTTATTTATATACATCAAGTAATCTCAATTATAATCATTATAAATGTTATTATGCTGAGCTTTTGTTATTTTTCTTAAACTAGATGCATTTGACGAAGTCTTCATGTTTCAAACTTTGACTGATATTCAGGCAGGAAAGACCTGCACTATTCCAGTTTATAACTATAAAACAAATTCTAGGTAAACTTAAAAAAATAATAGTTTTAAGACATTATATGTAAATATTATAATATTTACTATMTATCTATAACAAATTAGAGAATTAAATTGAACACTTCTTACGTAATATTATTTATTTATTTAGATTACCTTCAATCAAGATTTACAATGTAAACAAATAAAAAGTATAATTTTTATACCATGATTTTTTTTTTTTTAATAGATGGTTATATTCCCACTCCATTCACAGATTTAAGGTTTTAAGTCTTTACTATACAGATGCATTTTACTACAGACATCCAGGTGGTATTAACTCTGTAGAGTCTAGAGGTCATACGCTGGTGTGGCTTGACTAAAACCTGAAGAAAACTGGTTTTTGCCTAAGTTTCTTCTTAACGTGAATGGAGTAGAATTTGAATTATTAAACACATATTTGTTAAACTTATTGGTATACATGATAAAAATTTAATTTTGTGGATAACTTTTTGTACAAGGCAATAATATAAGTTATGTATTTATTATTAGTTGTTAACAAATGGTTAATGATTTAGTTTTTTAGTGATTTAGTTCATGATTCTTTTTTTAAATTTCAGAAGTAAAAATGAGAACATAGTCATCTATCCTGCAGATGTTGTGATTGTTGAAGGCATATTAGCATTTTATTTTCCTGCAATACGAGATCTATTTCATATGAAATTGTTTGTTGATACAGATTCAGATACTAGATTGGCCAGAAGAGGTAATTAAATAGTTTGTCTAGTCTAGTAAGTTTAATTGTCTATATATTAATATTTTTTTTTTAGTTCCTAGAGATATCAATGAAAGAGGAAGAGATTTAGAACAAGTACTAAATCAATATATGAATTTTGTAAAACCTGCTTTTGAAGAATTTTGTTTACCAGTAACTATAAATTAATACTACAAAAATGATTTTTGTTTAACCTTCAGTAGGTCGCGCGGGGTAATTTATTACCCCACTAATTTTAAACTATGTTTTAATATTATTTAAGTTGGTATGAGAGTGTTGGGATTTTATCTAGCTTCTATTTATAAGCCATTAGTAGATAATATTAAGTTTGTTTAACRTTTTATCAGTTAGTACGTTCAATACCAGCGTTCGAAGTGTGTGTATTTGAGTTTGGAAAATTTTTACCCCGCGCGACGAAATAAGTATTTATTTTTTTCGTACTATTATATTATATTTGGAAATGGATGAATTAGAACGTCGACGAATTGAAGCGTTCATTGACGATTTCGATGATAATGAAGATATTTGGGGAGGAAACTCAAGTGACGAAGAAGAGGATAATGTTGAAATTTTACAAAAAGATCATAACACTGATACTGAACAATCCGATATTTCTGATGAAGAAAACTCAGATCTGACAGAATATAATTTCGTAGATAATGCGATTATAAACGATGATAATTACCATGAATCAGATGATGAGTTACCACTTAGCATGAGAATGTTGCCATACTACATTGGGAAAGATGGAACTAGGTGGAATAAACGTGCGCCAAACCAGAGAGTTCRCACGTCTAAAAAAAATTATGTGACGGAAAAATCAGGTGTTTCTCCAACTATTAAAAATAAAACAAATATTCTTGAATGCTGGCAAGTGTTTTTTACAAAACCCATGTTAGATACAATTGTAAATTGCACCAAAAGTATATTATGTTTAATCGAGGAAAATTTTTACCCCGCGCGACGGAATAGGTACTCATAAACCGCGCGACCTACTGAAGGTTAATTAATCTTATTTCCAAATTTTGCAGACTAAAAAATTTGCTGATATTATAATACCAAGAGGAGCAGAAAATTTTGGTATGTTTATTATTCTACACATTATTATGTTATTAAATAAACTATCATTTTTTATACAGTCAGTGGTGTAAATTCTTTAAAATAGATTCCAATACAGNATATTTACAAAAATATTTGACATAAAAGTTTTAAAAATAAAGTAGTTTTATTCATATTTTATACATTACTTCAGGATTAAATTAGTAGGAATTCATAATTTTCTATTATCAAATCAGTTTATTTTTTTTTTAATTTGCAATTTTACTAAAAATATTAAGAAGTTTGTAGAAGTTGATAAATTAAAATAATAAGAGTAAATTGATATCAAATAATTTTCTTCTTTTTTTTTTTTACAGTGGCTATTGATTTGATTGTTCAACATATACGAGATTTATTAAATAGTGAACATTGTACTCAATATGAACTTTCAGAAGGATTAGTAGTACATACAAATAATGTTAATGCATCTAGGCTACATTAATTTAACTTAATGTTAAATTATTTATGACAATATTAATCTACATTTTTTCTTTTAAACTACAAAACAAAATGTATGTAATTATGAGTGAATAAAATTATTAACATTATTTTAAAAAGTTATTTATTATCTTTATTAGTTAATTTTATTATGCATTAAAAAAAAAATATACAGTATGTTTCTATTTTCTATTATATTYATTGATAGTAAAGTTCAATGTTCATGCCATCATGAATTTCGTCTGAACAAAAAATATTAAGGAAAACACTACTAAATTAATGTATTAGAAGAAAGACATATTATTTTTAGTGACAATTTTATAATAAATACTACATACTTATCAGTTATTAAGACTATTCTCATATTTATTYTTTTGAAAATCGTAATGCCAAGTATAAAGAATAAAACAAATTTGTGATTATTTAAGTCAGTCAGTTTTTAGTGTAATTTTAAGCTACAATAAAGTTTATTCAAAACAAAGCCATAATTAAAACAAATTTTCTAACATTCTGTCAATTAATAAGGCATTATTTTTGATAATGTAAAAACAATTTAATTGGAAAAAAAATGGAGTAGTTATAAAATTAGACTTGGAAAAATAATAGTTAGCGAAGTGTGTAACATTTGAAGTGTTTATTCAGTTCAGTGRTTTCTCAAAAATGTCACAAATCAACATCAAAAGTTCTTATTCAGATATTGAGTCARCAAATAATTTACACGATTTTTCGGTAAACTAAATTTWGTAATACTGACAATGAACTACCATAGACGACACTAAGTTAAATTATTTTAAGAACATTTTATGCTCTTCAATACAAAATAATAAAAKTAGGTCTGGCTYAATGAAACTTAAAAGTTGAAAGTATATGCAAAAATTTAATTATCTCCAAACATAACAATTAGCCTCACAATATTTTGCATATTATTATCTTGAAAAAATTACAGCAATTTATGTTCACATGGCAAATCCCAGATTTTTAATGTGAAAAAGTGAGTTAAAGAGAATTTATTTGTTGATCTTTGATAAATCAACTTTATATCGTTTATACTTTTTTTGGGCACTTTCTTCTGTTATTTGTCTTGTAGATAACTGATAAATACCACATTTAATGTTGATAAAGTATATCAATAGCAAATGTAACAAAAAAAAAAAAAAATTAGAGCCATTTTTTTAAACATTGTTAAGTAATAACTTATAAAACAGTAAGATCATAGTAGTAATTAAAATGATCATGATATAAAATGACTATCTACTGTATTTCTTCCGCCTGTTAAAAAAATAGCTTGGTGACTTGAATATTAAAATTAATAACATRTCAATAGAATAAATTAAAGATTATATACAGCTATATATATAACAATATTAAAAGGATACAATCTCCCAATCTAATATGGTCTTTGAAAATTGTGTACCATTTCTTCAAAATTATCTTTTCCCATTTMGTTCCAGTTTGAGCGGCGATTAATTTTTTTAAATCACCGATTGTATCTTCAGGATTACATTTCACTCTGACTTTTTTTCCCAATCTATCATTACAAGTGATTTCAATCATATTGAGTTATTTTGAAAAAGACTGATCCTTAACCTGAAAAATATAAAAACACCTAAGTCAATTTTATTGTTATTATTATTTAACAAAATTAAAATCAATATTTTAAATATTAGAATGGTGTCAAATTATAGTTAAAAGTTTTGTTCTTAAAAATCGAGATTAAAAAACAAATCAGCAATAACGTGTGAATATCAAAGTAGACGGACATTAAAATACCTAATTAACAGATACTAAGATACAATAGTAACACAAACATTGGTGATACAAATATCAAAAAATTAAAACAAATAGTGACAGTATAACAATATTACAGAAATGTTTGATCATCCATTACCACTCTAACCACGAATGATGAAAATATTTGATTTGCTGAATCGAAAATCAAAATGAAAAATACAAAGATATTTGTGAATAACAACAGGAATGAAACATGAATAACATTCTTATTAAATCTGTTATGCCGATCACGTATAAAATATAGGTAATTGGTTAACAATAAGAACTACGATGGTGAATTTGAAACGTGAATAATATTGATGATTTATTTGTTTTGAATCAACCAGGGRTAATTTTATTGAAAACACTATGTAATAGACATTATATTTTTTATCGAACTTTTACCTTTTAAAATCGTATGTAAACTAATATATCTCAGAAAATATAAATCACAGAATAATACGTAAAAATAATAAAAACTATTAAGTAAAAATAATTGTTATATAACATACATTAATATTAGAAACCTCTTTTGAATGTTTGGATTGTTTGGAATGTCAAAATCAAAATAGTAATTGCCAATATTAGTATTTTACCATGATAATTATTTTATAACTGATAACAAAGTTGATAAGTCAGAAGTTATACTCAAAATAAAAATATTTTATCGTTACATATACCAAATTTTTTTGAAAAAAAAAATTAAATACAAACAAAAGTGGATTTGAATTTACTGTAAATAGGTGGAATGGAATTAATTAGAAATATTTCGTTAAAATATTTACAATTAAAGATGATATTATGATGACAAATGTACAAAAAGGAATGACGTCGATAACTAAAACGTTACTATCATCCGATCGATCACATCATCAACATTCAACATGAACATTTTTCAAAAAACTAATACTGAAAACTATTTTACATTATACATTAGACTGTAGACCTACTTTCATGTTATATGTAGTTATTAATGATGTGTATGTTAGTATAATATTTTAACATTATATAATTTATTGGAGTTTATTTTTTTTTCTACTTTTGTGTACTATTATGGCATTCATACCTAAAAATTATATTGACAAAGCAGAAGATATTTCAGAACTGGTAATTACTTATAATAGTTGCAATAAATACATTATGATAGTATATTATATCATTAAATATTAAAATTTAAATACTTCTCATTATTGCCACATTGTTTCCATAGGTTGTTAAAAATTGTAATGCATACTTACCAACAGCTTCTCGGTTATGTTTGATATCAACATTTATAGAAGATGGTCTACGAATGTATTTTCAGTGGTCAGAGCAGAGCAGATACATGGATATGTCTTGGAATTGTGGAATGTTTTTAGCTACTGTTTTTGTTCTTATTAACTTAGTTGGACAGTTGGGTGGATGTATACTTATTTTATTACAAAAACATGTTCGAATAGCTTGTGGAGTATTATTTTTTATAGTTGTATTGCAAGTAAGCCAGCATTCCTTAACTTATATATTTATATTTATTTAAATTTAAATTTAACATACTCATTGATAATACTTTAACATAAATTAAGATCATCAATCTTTTATTCTTAATTATTAATGATTATATTTTGCATATGAACTAAATGCATAAAACCTTTTGTTTGAATTATATATTTAGACAGTAGCATACAGCATTTTATGGGATTTCCATTTTTTACTGAGAAATTTCGCATTAATTGGAGCATTATTATTAGTTCTTGCTGATAGTGAAGTAGAATCAAAATCTCTGCTTGCTGGTATTCCATCATTGGGTAAATTACAATTTTATAAATATGTCAAATTAAAAACTAATTTCTTTATTGTTTTTAAGGAGAAAACAAACAAAAAAATTACATGCAATTGACGGGAAGATGCTTGATTGCGTTTATGTTCATTACATTATTAAAATATGAATTGTCATTTTTCCAGGTTTTTATATTAAGATAACATAATATAATTTGCATTTTATACTTTTGATTAATATCTAAACTTTTTGTGCAGCTGGTTCAAGATATTTTAGGAACTATTATGATGGTATTAGTTTTCATTGGTTACAAAACTAAACTTAGTGCGTTAGTGCTTGTTTTGTTTTTAACAAGTTTAAATTTCTATTATAATGCTTGGTGGACAATACCTGAAACAAAACCTCTTCGTGATTTTCTAAAATATGACTTCTTCCAAGTAATTATATTTATATATTAAACATTTATTTTTATTTTTTGTGCTTTAATTTATTTTTATGTTTAGACACTATCGGTAATTGGAGGTTTATTAATGATTGTACTCAGAGGACCAGGTGGAGTCTCAATGGATGAACATAAAAAAAATTGGTAATCTCTAATCTAATTCAAATGTTTAATATAATGATGTTATTTTTCAAAAACAAATATATAAAATCTAATTATTTAATGTTTTTTTATTAGATATTTATATAAATTAATGGCCACTTCATATCAAATACCATATATTTATTTTAGTATATCATTATTAGAGTGACTTTTTGAGAGAATATCTCACCACATGCATGGTTTAATGGAGTGTTTTTTCAATATTTTAATCTTTAAGTGAATAATTGTAAGTTGGTAAAATATTAGAATTTAAAAATTATCATTAATCATTTTAAAATGAAAATCATGAAAATAATTTTTTTAACAAACCACAGAATATGCTGTTTCCTCTAAGTTTAATAATATATAGATTTGATCTAATGAAGCTAAATAAGGATTTCTAAAAGTAAATTGTTTATGTCACTTATTTAAAGTTAAGACAAACCATGCAGGTAAGATRTCCTTTTAATAACCTATTACAAAATTGATTGATTTCCAGTACTTAAATTTTTTTCTGTAAAAAATTGTCAATCATTAATCTATTTTAATTCATAGTTATAATATTTAATTCATTAATATTAAGTTGATAATATTTGTGTTGATGTGTAGTATTTTTTAAATGTTTTGCAATAATTACAAAAACTCATGGGTAGTGGCGTAATTGTGAGGGGGGAGAGTGGTAAAGGTATTTTGCCTCTKTACAGATAATCCAACAATACAAATCTGAATCTTCTTGGGTAAAAGAAAAAATGCTATATATTTAAAATTAAGATTCCTACTATTACATAAAAGTTAACATCTATTTTAGGTTTCTCTTGTCATGCATTTTTATGTCCACCTATCATTAATGTTATTGCGATAATGAAATTTAATTAGGTCATTAAATTTTTTGTTGGTTATTAGTCAATATTTATTGTTCACCAATTATAAAATATGCATAAATTATACTAGTTACTTTAGTTCCTTTATATTTATTATGCTTATATAGGTATGAAATAGGTACTATTTAACAGATAGGTTGGGTACCTGATATCTACAAGTTATTTTAAAACATAAAATACATTTTAAGCCAAAATAAGAGAAGGCGGGTCAGGGTATTGATTATGGTGAATAAGTTATTTTGCCCTCTAGATTTTTATCCAGTTATGCCACTGTGCCACTTATGCACTAACAACTTACATAATAAGTGTTATAATATAGTTTAGCGCAGACTGTTATTAATTATCAATTAATTGATAATATATAATGTATACATTTCTTGATTTTATTTAATTTGTTTTTAATTATTTGTAACTTAATAAAATAACAAAAATTGAAAGTTAATAAATTATTTTTCCATAGGAATACAATTTGTAATTTTGTAAGTTTTTATATTTATTAAAATTCAGTAGTATTCTCACTTTTTTATTGAATTATATAATCCAAATCCACTAACTAGAGAGTTGTATAATAATGGTGCCATTGTTGCTGGTACCATACCCATTATTTTAAATTTTTTACCCATTTCCATTAATTTATTATAACCAAATGTGAGTGATGTTGCTTCTTTTTCATTTTTTGTTAAAGTCAGTAAATTCTGTAAACATACAATWAATTAATTTTATTACAATGACTATTATTTTCTATAATTACTTTGTATCTCAAATTAATCATCATATTCTCTAAAAATATATTTTGGCCAATTGGTCCAAAAGCCAAGACATCAGTTCCTGCAACACTTTTTAATCTACCAAAATCGACATCTGCTGTCAAGTCTACTTTCCCGGGATTATGTAATGGATTAACTTGTTGGTGTCCACTAAAAGCCTACATATTAAAAACATTTATTATTGTTATGTTTATTGTTTATGAGAATATATATTTAAAAGCTAACCCTAAATGAATCAGTTATTGGCTTATCTTGTCCATAATCAATACATAGAAATATTCCACCATCTAGTATTATTCTATCGTTTAATTTCTGCATCACAATAGCTGCGTCTAACCCAACTTCAATTTCAGTATAATCTCTAAGATTTGAACATTTATAATATTCTATCTAATACAAACATCTAGTAATTAAAAAAACAATGTTTAWCCATACATAGTTAAATAAAATAACATACTGTAGATATTAAATTTGATGTAGTTGTAGATGTTTTACTTAAGACATAACGAAATGTTCCACTCAAATCATTTTCAATATCTATGACAATTTCATGCCATTTTTCATTAATTTTCTAAGTAGGAAAAAAATAAATTATAAAAACTACAATCTTAAATAATTATTAAATTATACTTACCCTAAATTTATGTATAGGTAAAGCATCAAAAAATTCTTGGGCAACAATTAAACTAAATGTATTTCTAGGGACATCATCTATTGATTCATACCAGAATATCTCTTTCATTCCATATTTTTCAGATGTTATACCGTGTTGATAGTAACATTTTCCYGAATCTGTCTGCAAATCTGAACAGCATAGTTTATTAGCTTGTTCTAAGCTACATTTTTTACTTGTTTCTACCATWTGTATGCTAAGATCAAGTGAGCTGTATTGAGTTTGTTTTAATAACTAAAAAAAAAAACAAATGGAAAAATGACTAATAATTTTTGGTTATTAATATTAATATAGTACTATTTATAATTAATGCCTAGAAGTTCTTAACAGACAAATTATAATCAATCGTAAGTCAATAACTTTGATGTAGTAGGTTAACTCTACATAATAACAAAAAAGTTTGCTACTTTTATGAACAAATACAACAACAGATATTTAGTGAAAAAATTAACACTTATAATGATAGACTTTAACACAAAAGAAAATCT